TTTTATCCGCAAATTGTTAAAAGCAAGTTTCAACACACAGAGATGACATTAAACTGCTGCGCAAAGAAGTACGCTTTGTTTTCGAGCGATAAAAACAATATTTCAGGGACGTATGCAGTGTCGGAGGAAAATGTAAAGATAACAACTGATCCTAAGGACATAATTAGGTAAAAAGGTATTTATTAACTAAGGTAGAAAAAAGAAGCTCGAAAGAAAATTATTCGTTTGCCGTTAGGCGTTCTCATAATTAAGCTCAAAGCAATCTTTAAGGAAGCTTTCAGTAAAATTTTTATTAAAAGGACTATCTCTAGTTTCTAAAATGTTTTGTGACATTCATAGAGAGGAGTACGCCGTGATGCAAAGATATATGTGTTAAGTTGAGTGGTAAAAACAAAAGTTAACGCAAAAGCGCGGTAACTCATTAATTTTTTGTTTTCAACGGGGTGTAGAGAGAGCCGGGCCAGAGCCCGCGGCCTACCACAAGACCTACGGCAACGAGGATCTTCCTTTCAAAAGCCACCACTTCGACCTTATATTCATTTTCTCTCAAAAGGGACTCGTTGAAGTCCTTAATCTCGCAAGGCCTGCGAAGATCTTTACGTAGACCTTTCAGCCGCGAAATGGGCTCTGTGCCCCAGGCAACTGGCCCTAAGGCTGTGAAGTGGGCTTAACGCCCCAGACCTGCCGCTCAACAAAACCTGCTACTTGAAAAACTCAAAATCGAATTCATCAAGCTTCACAGTATCATGTGAGATATTTTTCAATAAGAGTTTGAAAAAGGACAAATTTATCGAAAATGCTTCATTATGCGAACCACAACAACGCGGCCCCATTGCTGGCTTAGGTTCGAATTCTACAGATTTACATTGAAAGTCAAAATTCCGCAATTTTAGGTCCTAAACACACTCTTTCAATTTTAAAAGTCCTCGTACTCATATTTGACAGCATCTTCACTTGTCCACACAACACGGCCGAAAATGATGAAACGAGTGGGACCTGAAACTGATAATAAGACTAATCTTTTCATGATCCCTGTCCAGCTTCGTCTTAAGTACGCTTTCACATTGTACAAGGCTATGTTAAGCTGATGACACGAACAAAGCTCGAATACAGCAAGTACAACAACACAAGGTTATCTGCCATCATGGACAGATGTTACGTTTAGGATTGGAGCTGATCCCATCTGCAAATTTCTTCGTCACCCTTTTCACTTGTCAGCCCTAAAACGGAGCGTTTTAAAAACGATCCGTTGTCAAAACGCTCCATTTTAAAACTCTCCGTTTTCATCAACGTTTTCAGGCGTTTTAGAGTGGATGACCGGCGAAAACGCATAAAAAAAGGTTACGTTTTCAAACGAAAACGCAGAAGTTTGGTAAGGGCCTTAAAGAAAGGTTCAAGCGCAAGAACTGTATTGTCAAAAAGAGCCGGCACAAGTTTCAGAACATGTGTTGGGCTAAACTGCTGTCCCCATGAGGAATTGAACCTCAGACCTTCGGATTCCGCGCGAGAAGTACAGAAAATACCCCCAGAGCAAGTGCTAGAATGACAATCCATCCGATGTTACTGGAGGAACTACAATAAATTATTGTTTCTCTGTCAAAGTATTTCTTTAATCAACCGCAAGATAAAACACGAAATAAAAGTTGCCATTGCGAATTGATTATAGCCTCACTTTGATTGGGCTGGCGTTCTTTCAGAACGTTTGCCACAGGTATATATCGCAGACCCATTACTTCCTTGAAGGTTCTCATACCGCATTCTAACATAGTTTGGCCGATTAAAACCAATAACCACTAAGATTTTAACCAAATTCCATAAACGCTCTTTTTCGGTTATCTCAACTTTGGCCTTCTTTTGGAAGAAAATATTGCAGACAACGGTATTTCGTAGAAACGACATGATTCTATGTACTAAATAAATTAATACTTGAATCGAGTGAAACGTTTCAGTACTGCCAATGACACTCTTTAAGATATGCTTATTAATTTTCCCCGAGAGAAAAGGGGGAAAGCGGAGCTGTCTCGTAGACCACACACCAAGCGTATTGTACCCTAAGAAGAAAGCGTTCCGGGCCTTAACAAAAGGCCTTTGTGTCACCAATGTGAAGAAGTAATAACACGGAAATGCATCAATAGCTATCAGTCTTTGTAGGAGTAATCCATCAGATCAACTTTAATTTGTAAAAACTTAGACCAATTTGGTAGCGACTAAAAAGTATCAATGGAGGTCAATTATCTCTGACATTATGACGATCTGTTCATACTAACAGGACATGTCGTTCTTTTTTGTATAGGATAACATAACGTTCCTTAAAGCGTTCGTCATAAATTTGACATCAATAATGATATGCTTATCGGTGGCATGGGTCGTCATCATCTTTGTCGTCGTAGCATCGTCTTCATCAGTCATAATTATTGTCATATCCGTCTTTATCGGTGTTAGGTTTCTTTTTTCATGTAACGAATTATCAGCACGGTGTAGTTCATCTCAAACAAAAATGAATAGTGTCTCCGAATTGCGAACGGATAAATAGCCAATGAAGGTCAACAGGTAAAACCAACCCATGATGTCACATCATGGCAGTTGAAAATAGTCATAGTGCGTGGATTTAGAGGAAATGGAAAATTGACCAATCGGTGTTAAGAGACTTCATTTTTTTTACTAGTTAATAAATTAGACGTGGGAACAAATAAAATTTTTCCGTTGTCTGAAGGTGTACACTCGCTACGAAAGAGTTGGTACGGTTGCTTGTCTTTTCATTCGACTTTGATTGCATTTTAATTTCATGTGATTTTTCGTTTCCTTTGCTTTGTTTTAACTCAATTATGTTCATTAAGAGCTTATTTACTTCATAGGTTCTCTGCGACACAGAACAAATCAGACGACAGAATAATCTAAAACACTTTACCTCGAGAATCTATTCTTTTCCTTTCCATTTTTAAAAGAGGTAAGAAATATTTGTAAGTTTCAGCTAATTTTCCTACAATTTCGTCTTATTATTCCAAGCCTTCTAGAGTAAATAATTCGAGAGATGTTGGGGCGAAATGAAAGCGATGCCCGGCACGACAAGGAAGAGCGGACGTCTGAGGTAAGCTCAGGAAACTGAAGCTTTCGAAGAATCCGCTAGTGTAATTGAAATCATTTTCACCATACTGTAAAAAACGTTTACCCAACCTCTAACTGCTGTTGGGCCAGGCATTATCTAAAATTAGATCTTAGTGACATTTTCGGATCATATTTCTGAACCTTGTGCTTTGTGACAGTATCACGTTGTTGTGTTGCGAATCGAATGTTTTTGAAGTAGTCACTATTCTGCGAATTTCACTGCGTCAAGTTCCAACTATTCTTAGGCGTACGGAGAGGACGATCGTTTGACGTTATCGAACACTGCTATTGGAATAAATCATATTTGATTGTACGTTCGTTAATTCATTTGTGGATATCAGTTCAACGACCCTCGAACCTTTGCGACGCCTAGAGTTAAGTTACACAACCGTGAACTCGAAGTCTGGGAATACCAAAGAATCAGATTAAGATTACAAAACCAATTATAGTATTACCGACAAGCAGTTTTGGAATTTGCCAATTTGGCTACCAAGGGTAGAGACTGTTTCTTCAATCAAACGATCATCAATGCAAAATTACAAATTTATTCATTTGGAAAAAAAACACCTGAAAGAAAAACGACTTAGCTGTCATTAGCCGGCCTTTCAGTTCAATTCAATGTATCTGGTGAGACTATTTCCTTCTCTTCCAAATATCTCTTGGTCAAAAATATCGCCTCGTTAAAAACAGCAGGGATACACAGCAGGGATACACAGGTGCCAGCTTTCTTAAGGGAAGATAAGTTGCACCGTTATTTCTGTTAGCTTTTTCATTTTGCTTTCTTTTTCGTTCACTGAAGAATTTTTATCTGCGAGATAGTCAAAAGCAAGTTGGTATTGAGGAATATCTTCATCAATTCCACATTTTGTTTTGTGGCATACAGAAATGACATTAAACCGCTGCGCAAATAAGTAAGCTTTGTTTTCGGGTGATAAAAACAACGTTACAGAGACGCATGTAGTGACCAAGGAAAATGTCGTTTTTAACACATTTTTGCTCCAAGTACAGCCCTGGCTCACGGCCTTAGCTTCCAAGCGACTCAGGGCGCATTTCACGGGCGACAATGTTCAAATAAAGATTACTGTTTCTCATTTTGGTGAAAGGGAAACGTTTAATATCATGTACACGTACATCAATTCAGCTTTGATTTGTTGTCGGAGTTCACGATAAACATGGATTAGCCTGTATCTCTCTGGGGAATGGTATGGGTAATGGCATAGGAAACATTTGTTGCCGAACGATGAAAATTTTCAAATCTCTACCTTTGTAGCTTGGATTTCGAGATTGGAGAGAGTCAAAAGAACAGTTACTGAATGATAGGTGCTCGTTTGATTCCTTATGGAATTCTCTAACATTTTGCCACTGTTTCCGTAGTTCCCTCCATCCTAAACAAACCAATCCTCTGACATGAAGTTCAGCAAACCGGAATCGGTGCGGAGAAGCAGGTTTTTCCATTTCTGCTCGTGTACATATACATGGACTAAAACGTTCCCTCTCCAGCAAAATTGAATTCTTGAATAATTCGAAGATTGCATGGAACTAGAATGATTGAAAAAACTCGTTCTCCATTCATCCAACTGTTCATCCACTCATCCATCCAACGTACATCGTAGGCAACGGTGCTTGTTATTTTACATATTTCTGCCGAGAAGTGGAGTCGCGCAAAAAGCCTATATCAAACAAGTAAAGAAGCAATCTTCAATCTTCTGGCTAATCGGAAAAAATACGCTTTAAGAAATCTAAAAAAAAAGAGCGAAACGGGAAAAGACGAAAAAAGATTGCTGAAGCCTTAGACTTCGGCAATAAATTGATTCGCTTAGATATGATTGTTTCATATAAACCAAACATAAGAGTTGCCGTTGGCTAATCTATACTGTTAGGTTTACAGATTCATGATGGAATCTAAGGTCATTTTCCTGATGCTGACTGCTCTGGGAGGCGCAATCGCTTTACCAAAATTCGTTGCAGAATCTGGCCACACAGGTAGGTATCTCATCATTCAAGATCAGATCTAAAGTTATCATGTTCTTTAGTTAATAAACTATAAGGTTACATAGCTTACGCCCAAATTTAGAGAGTTGCAGTCGTGATAGCCAGATACCGTTTTTGGACACACTCAGTCTTGCATCATGTCGGTAATCCGTCTGATTGTTTTAGTTTCTTGCTTAAGGAGGCTCCATAGAGTTTTTGCTCGCCTCAACGACGGTAGGGATGTACTCGGCGACTCACCAAAGCATTACCGTTGCCCGTGGGCAGAGATGGGAAAATACGGACTGCGCAAAGAACCAATCAGATTGCAGGATTCGTTACCGTGCCCTTTGAGAAAAAAATAAATGAAAATCTGTGAACTGCGGATAAAGACGTGAAAATTAAAGCGATATGCGCAGTAATGAACACTACTCGAGCAGTAGTGAAAATAAAATCGCTTTCACATTTACGTCTTTATCCGCAGTTCACACACATGATTTTCATATATTCACAGTCATTTATTCATCACCTCACGGGTTTATTTGGAACCAACATAGAAACCAGCTCCCAGTTGGCTTGTCAGCTCAGTTGGTATAGCGCTTCACCGGTATCGCAGAGGTCAGGGGTACAAATTTCGTACAGACCTGAATCTTTTTCGGGCCTGATTTTCACTACTGTAGAAGTAGTGTTTATTACTGCGAAGATCGCTTTCATATTTAAGACGTCTTATGTAAAAAAACCTTTCACGTTTTAGCGTGTGAAACCAATAGAGAGCAGATCAGCTGTGTTTCCTCTCGAGACACAAAGCATAATTGCAACTTATCACCCATGAAAACAATGTTTTGAAAAGTTAGATTATACTTGTTTATTGCTTAGCAGATGAGGGAAGTGCGATGGCGACTAAGAGGGGTGTCCTTTCCTTCGGGTGGATGGTTAAGCTCGTTACTGAAAGAGATCCCCTTGATTTCAATGGTTATGGCTGCTATTGTGGAATTGGTGGGGAAGGCAAACCCGTGGATGATTTGGACAGGTGATCTAACAAAGCTTTCTTTAGATCATCATTACTGATTTTCCAAGTACCCTGCGTGATGATTAAATTAAAAAGTTGAGGGGAGAGAAAAATGTACTGTCCGTTCCATTTTGAAAACCACAGGATTAAATCCAATGATGGAATTACTTCATTTAAATAGTTGGGTGGAATAGTCGACAAAACCGACTTTGAATGGAAATGGACCCTTGGAATCTATTAACCTATCATGCTCCACCATCTTAAAAGGAGTATACGCTTATAAAGCTGTTAGAAGATGATAATGAAGCATACTTTCCTACTAGACAAGCGCTGTTACCCCCCACACACTGATTGATAGACGCCAAGAACAACATTAAAAAGTGAATAAATCTATTTTCAGGTGTTGCCTAGTTCACGACAATTGCTATGGCGACATTTTAGAGGCGGAGGTTTGCCCTTTCGAGAAAGGAATTTATTCTCTTCCCTACTCAACAAAATCGGATCACCCTACCGAATGCGGTAAGTCAAAGAAAATGACCTACGTAATCCTGTGCATGGAGGTAAAAACGTCTTTGTATTGTAGTTTAGCTGTTTTTTTTTTGTATGTGCTTTTGCTTTTTTATAAGTTAATGTCAGTTGAACTGTCTTTTATTCTACTCACTTTTCGTTTCCCGGTTTCTTGTTATTTTTTTAAGATAATTCGTTACTATATACCTGAACTTACGAGCACATTTCAGAAATTTCGTTAGCTGTGGTACAATAGGAGAACTTGAGACAAATATTGGAATAGGTCCTCTGTTGTAAAATTTCCGGAAAAACTTCTTTTAAAAATAGTAGGCAACAGTATTTCAACTAAACTCTCTCATTTTATTTCAGAACCTGCATCTTATTACTGGTTTAGTGGAGAATGCCGCTTTCGCTTGTGCAAGTGCGATGCAGCTGCCGCTAAATGCTTTAAGAAGAATCGCTATCAAGAGAAGTATAGAAAATACCCACAGAACAAGTGTAGGAACGGCAAGCCTTCTAAAAGTGATGATGAAACAACACAAACGTTGTTTCCGCTTTGAGTTTGTAATTGTTTGTTAGATGAATAAAAGAGCAAAGATCTCTTTTGGTATAGTCTGGCTTCGTAGCAACTGCCACAAGTACATGTCGCCTACCGATTATTTCTGTTGATTTGGTGATGTCGTTTCGAAAAAATAACCCAGCCGTATATTATTTTAAACCTTTTCTATCAATGCGCTTAACAAGTCAACATATAGTATCTGGCCTACAGAACACTGAACTATCTTAAATCCCGGTTTACTGCGTCAAACTAAAAGCCCGAGTTTCTGAAGAACTACTAACATCAGAAGCAAATACCAGTTTCATCTTCTCAGAAAATGATCCAGTGTGCATGATTGTGCGACTGGATCGATTTACCAGTTTTACTTAATTGCCAGAAATACACAAACCAGTCACGTTAATAGTTTATTTACAATGTTTTCTTTTTCAATGTGTAGGTGTCATATTTAAGTAAACATGTCCATCCCAGTAATTCATTGGTGCATAGACTCCATGTAAACTTCGGGTTTTATAAATTTTAATAATTGGTGTAATTTAATAACTATGTAAAAATCGACGATTTCCACTTCACAGAGAATTTCACTTGCATTAATCACAACACGAACATTTCCTACAACTCTTCCTCCACAAGAAAGCAAGCATGCAGCACGCAAAAAATAATGTCATAGCCCCTCCCAATTAAATAGTGCGTCAGAGTAAAAAGGTATGGTCCTAATGATTTCTACACAAGCATTTCCTGAATATGAAAATACAAGTCTAATTTCGTCAAAACAATGTCAGTTACTTTTTTTTCCTCTTTCCTTTTTTTCACTACCAAATTTACAGCTTTTTTTTTGTTTCTAAATGGTCAAATATATTAACCCTCAATCGTAAATTGGCCAAAACTTTTTCCATTAGCGGAATAAAACCCATTACTCCATTGAGACCCTGAACTTCATGATCCACTTTCGAACTGGTTCTACGAGGGTCTCTCATAAAGGGGCAGAATACAGCAGAAGAAATCGAGATAGCGACATAACAAGTCTCTGTTCTCGCCCTCGTGCTTGACAAAGCCCAACAAATCTGAGGATAAAGTACATCACATGTATTTAATCCACTAAGCGGTGTTTACACCAAATTTTTTCCAGAGCACATCAAGATTAAAATTGTTAAGTCCTTCGTACAAACTTGCATTTGGATTTCTTCAAAAATACTTCGCCTGTTCGGTTTTTTTCGCTGATTCTGCCACGTTCTATGACCTAACGGGAAAGACGATAAAAAGATAGTATTCTAAAAGACCCAAAAAGGCGGTTTGAATTCTTCCAGTATCAAATTGAACAGAACAGAAAATTAACTAATGTGGGAAAAGTGACAGCTTTGAAAGCCACGAATCTTGCTAAGGAACACAATCTCAACATTCGAGGCACAGAGGGAATTCATCCGTGTGAATCTCAGTCGCAGCCCCAGTCAAAACAGTACTACCTTGTTTATGTTTCAATCCATCACCAAGGGCGATGTGCAGAGGATTATTACGAGTTTACCGTCTAACAAAGCTCCTAGTTGCGATGAAGTAAATGCAAAAATTCTGAAAAATAGCTCACCTGTTATTGCTCACGTCATAAGTAGTCTTATTAACAATTCCTTTTCTTTGAGCAGTTTTCCACTTCCCGGGAAGTAAGCAGAAATCGTTCCAGTTCTTAAATAAGGGGCATTTTTTCATTTTTTGAAGAGCTAAGAAGGGATACTCAGGTATGAAAATTTTTAGTGAAGATTTACTTTCTTTTCTAATCGACTTTTGGACTCTTCTAAGTTATTTCTTTGTCAAAACAAGAGCCCTAAATCTCTTGTTAACTGGAATACTGTGGGTTCTTTTGCGATATAGTGGGTGCCAGACGAAAGTATAGTTTACATAGAGAATAAAACATGGCCGGGCGTATGGAATTTCTCTTCGAGTCTTTCGCTCGACGGCTCACGAGTGAGCGCAGTGAACGAGTGAGATGTCGAGTTGAACACGAGAAGAGAAATTCCATATCTACAAGCAACCATGTATTATTTTGTTTATCATATAAACACAATAGCCCTTTACTAAGAAGAAAAGCCGACTACATTAATGAATGAAAATAAATGAATCGACAATCCCCAAATAACAATCGTAGAGTGCGTTGGCGCTAATTCTTAACATGGAAAATTGCGTAGAATCATGATTACTAAAACAACAACGGTCGCAATTCCAATTTACAAAATTCTCATTTATTGACTTTGCCCTTACTGACAGCAGACGGCCAAAATCGGCCAGTGGCAAATCTTCAGCTGTCGATTTTCATTCTCATCCGCGAGAAATGCCAACACCTAAGCCACTGAATACGTAACTCGGTTTTTCTTTCTGTATATTGGTCTTTTTCCCCTTCTAGGTAAGTTTAAACATTACTGTCTGTCAGAGATACGGGCTTTTTGGTGTTTTAGCCGTGATGCAAAGACATATGTGTTAAGTTGAGTGGTAGAAACAAAAGTTAACGCAAATGCGCGGTAACTCAGGAATATTTTTATTTTCAACGGGGTGTAGATAGAGCCGGGCCGCAGCCTGCAGCCTACCCACGACCTACGGCAACGAAGATCTTCCTTTCAAAAGCCACCATTTCAACCTTACATTAATTTTGTTCCAAAAGAGACCCTTTGAAGTCCTTAATCTCGCAAGGCTTTCGAAGATCTTTACGTTAACCTGTCAACTGTGAGGCTGAAAAGGGTGTTTTAGAGTGGATGACCAGCGAAAACGCATAAAAAAGTTTCTGTTTTCAAACGAAAACGTAGAAGTTTGGTAGGGGCCTTAAAGAAAGGTGCAAGCGTTAGAACTGTTTTCGAATTATTTTATTTTATTAGCCGTCTTATAAGGTGTTTTTAGAATCATCATGATTGTGATTCGCATTGCAGAAAGCATTCATGATCACTGTCCTCAGCTGGCATTGTCAAAAAGAGCCGGCACAAGTTTCAGAACGTGTGTCGGGCTAAACTGCTGATGTCGTTCTGCAATGACCTATACAATGACCTCCTCTAAGGCGAAAACGCAGTCATTTCCAAAATTATCGTTTTGTAGCTCGGCGGCTCGAGTATTATGAGTTCTTTTCGTTTCTTTTTTAAAAAGAAATTTTTTTAAATTAATTTTCCACCAGGGAAAAGGGGGAAAGTGGAATTGTCTCGTAGACCAGACACCAAGAATATTGTCTCCCCAGAAGAAGGCGTGCCGGGCCTTAAGGTCATCAGGTAAAACCATCTCTTAATGTCACATTATGGCAGTTGAAAATAGTCATGGAAAATTGACCAATTGGTGTTAAGAGACTTTTTTATTTAACTAGTTAATAAATTAAACGTAGGAACAAATAAACTTTTTCCATTATTTGAAGGTGTACACTCGCTACGAAAGAGTTTGTACGATTGCTTGTCTTTTCATTTGACTTTAATTGCATTTTAATTTTATTTGATTTTTCGTTTCATTTGGTTTGTTTTAACTCGAGTATGTTCATCAAGAGCTTATTTATTTCATAGGTTCTCTACGACACAGAACAAGTCAGACGACAGAATAATGAAAAAAACTTTGTCTCAAGAATCTATTCATTTCCTTTCCACTTTTACAACAAGTGAGAAATATTGGTAAGTTTAAGCTACTTTACCTACAATGTCGTCTTATTATTCCGAGCCTTCTAGAGTAAATAATTCTAGATGTTGGGGCGAAATGAAAGTGGTGCTCGGCACGACAAAGGAAAGGGAACGTCTGAGGTAAGCTCAGAAAATTGAAATTTTCGAAGAATCCGCTGATGTAATCGAAATCATTTCCATCATATTGTAAAAACGGTCAACCGAGGTGTTAACTTTAAGTCTGGGAGTACCAAAGAGTCAAATTCAGATTACAAGTGTAATAAAAGTATTCCTTAAAAGAAGTTTTGGAATTTGCCCATTTAGCTACCATAGAGACTGTTTCTTTTTTCTTTTCTTTTTTTTTTTCCTCTCTTAGATTTCTTTTTTGAGTCCAAATTCCGTCTAAACTTATTGATATTACCCGCAGTAGTTTTTATTTGTCGAACATTGTTAAATAGGAGTTTTTTTTCCGAATACGATTCTAAATACGCTTGATAAATGGAACAGCCGAAAACAAAAGCAAATAAACAATCCTCAATGCAAAATTACAAATTTATTCATTTGGGAAAAGACATCTAAAAAGAATAACGACTTAGCTATCATGGGCCGGCCTTTCAGTTTAATTCAACGTATCTGGTGAGACCATTTCCTTCTCTCACAAATGTCACTTGATCAAAAATATCGCCTCGTCAAACACAGCAGGGATACACAGGTGCCAGCTTTCTTCAGGGAAGATAAGTTGCATCGTTATTTCTGTTAGCTTTTAATTTTGCTTTCTTTTTTGTTCACTGTTGAATTTTTATCTGCGAAATAGTTAAAAGCAAGTTGGTGTTTAGGAATATCTTCATCAATTCCACATTTTGTTTTGTGGCACACATTAAACCGCAGCGCAAAGAAGTAAGCTTTGTTTTCGAACGATAAAAACAATGTTACAGGGACGCATGCAGTGACCGAGGAAAATGTCATTTTTACATTTTTTCTGCTACAAGCACAGCCCTGGCCCACGGCCTTCTTCACAGCCTGGGCCCAAGCGACCCATGGTGCATTACACGGGTAACAATGTTCAAATGAAGATCACTGTTGCTCACGATGTAATATGGATGATGGTGAGCCTCTGTGGTTCTTAAATCATATCAATGCTGCGCAACCTCGGGAGTGCTATAAATAGCTTCATTTTGGCCAAAGGAAAACGTTTAAAATCATGTTCATGTACATCAATTCAGCTTTGATTTGTGGCCAGTTCACGATAAACATTGATTAGCCTCTACCTTTGTAGCTTGGACTTTGAGATTGGAGAGAGTCAAAAAGACAATTACTGAGTGACGGGTGCCAGTTGGACTCCTTATAAGATTCTCCGACATTTTGCCACTGTTTCTGTATTTCTCTCCATCCTAAACAAACAAATCCTTCGACATGAAGTTCAACAAACCGGCATCGTCCTGGAGAGTCAGGTTTTTCCATGTTTGCTCCTGATTCCTCAAGTTTTAGCCTTGGCAATATACAGATACTTGGGCTAAAACGTTCCCTCTCCACCAAAATTGAATTATTGAATAGTTTCAAGATTGCGTAGAACTAGAATGATTTGAGAAACTCGTTATCCACCCATCCACTGTACATCCATGGTGATCGTTATTTTGCATTTTTCGGCCGGTAGTTGAGTCTCGCAAGCAAATCAAGAAAAAAAATCTTCAATCCTCTGGCTAATCAAATCAAATCGAAATCAAATAAAGAAAAAAAAGACCAAACTTCAAAGTCCTTTCGCTAATCAGAATTGTTTCTTATAAACCAAACCTCCTTCTGGCCTTGAAGCATCATACAAGGGTATTCTTCAGTGAATAAACTATAAGGTTATATATATCCGCCGAAATTTCGTCACTTTTCTTGCCCCAATCGGTCAAACTATTTCATGCTCTCCAGTAAATATCTTAATCCCTACTTGTCTTACAGATTCATAATGAACTCTGCGTGTTTTGCGTTTCGGAAATAGACTCAGAGGTTTGATGTTAAAGCCATCTCTTTCCTAAATTAAAATAAAGGTATGTTGATTTTGGTCTTGGTCAAGCATTTTGTGAGTGTTTCATTGACAAATTTAACTTCTAGCTTGAACTTTGGCCATTACAAGATAACTTATGTTCCAGTCGAGCTTCGCTTAGAAAAGGACCACGACAGAATGTTACATCTTATTTTGAAAGAGTTGAACTTTAAGTTTATGAAATCAGTAAAGTGTAGGCATCAGTTTTTCTTCTAGAAGCACGAATTCCTGTACAGTTTATCCTAAATTATCACTTGCATGATTATAGTCGACTTTAATGTATGCATCTATGCTTGCTAAATTGCTATGCAGATTTTGAAGATGAGAATGCGTCAAAGAGGGCCCTTACCGGCTTTGGAAAGATGCTTTGGCACACCATTCGCAAAAAACCATGGAGATATGACGGTTATGGTTGCTACTGTGGTTTTGGTGGGAAAGGAGACCCTGTGGATGATTTGGACAGGTGATCATCAAACTTTTTTTTCATATCATCAATACTGATTGACTTTTTTTAGTATCGTGCAGGCTCTCCACTAATGCTAAGTAATTAAAGAGACCGGAAAAGTATACCCCTTGTAACCGAGGATAAGAAAACCTTGTTTGCGAAAGGTTCGTTATCCAATCCCATTCTCTTACGCAGACACACGATACTCCACGTTCCCTTTCGTACACTCCTGGATTTTCTTAAATTGCATTATTTAAAATTTCGTCAATATATTGAAGAAAGAAAAATGAGAAATAGTAGTGGGTGCTATTAAATCTTTTTTTCATCATTTGCTGTTGTTTTGATATTTTACAACAACCAACAAAGGTAAAGTTTACATTTTTTTCCTTAACAATACTCTGCTAGGAAGAGTACTTATTGTCATTTTCGGAAAATTGGAAATGATTCATTTAACTATCTCTGGAAAAACAATGAGCACTATTTCATGTAGAGAGCAGCAACTGAATAATCAAGTCAATCTATTCATAGGTGCTGCTTCCACCATGACAACTGTTACCATGACATTCAAAAGTCGGAAATCTGTCCATTCGAGGCAGGAGTGTATGTTATGCCCTACACAACAGAAGAGAATAAACCCACTAAATGCAGTAAGTTTTCCGATCTATCTAACTGGTACAAAAAGGTTTTCACTAGTTTTGTTTTGTTTTTTTTTTTCGTTTCTTTTTTGATAGTTTCTTGATTTTACTCTGTTTCACTTTAATTTGTTTTTGCTTCGTGTTGTTTGTTGTCTATACTTTAATAGTGCAATGCTTGTTTTCCCACATAGCCTTTATTTATACGAAACGCACTTCCACATTTCGGAAATTTCGTCTCCTTCAGTAGAGGATCCGCGTTTTAAAAAGTAATTTCTTTTACCTTGTAAACCAGCTTCTTATCTATATCTTACACACTGATCTATAACATTTAGTCCAAGTTGCGTTGCTTTTCACTTTAAACAACAGATCCTATAACTCATAAATTATTTCATTTTCCCTCAGAACCTGCCTCTTATTACCGCGGTTACGGAGAATGCCGCTCTGCCTTGTGCGAATGCGATGCAGTTGCCACCGAATGCTTCAAGAGGAGTGACTTTAACGAGAAATACAAAAAGTACTCTCGGAACAAGTGCTAGAATGACAAACCCTCTGATGTTACTGAGGGAACTACAATAAATTGTTGTTTCCTTTTCAGGGTCTTCCTTTAATTAAGCACAAGATAAAACACGAAATAAAAGTTGCCATTGCAAATTGAACATAGCCTCACTATGAGTGGGCCAGCTTTACTTGAGAGCTTTTGCCACAGGTACATATCGCAGACCATTACTTCCGTGAGGGTTCTCCACACCACACTTCTGACACAGTTTTCCGATTAAAACCAATAACCACTAAGATTTTAACCAAATTCCAAAAACGCTCTTCCTTCGGTTATCTCAACTTCATTTGGCCTTCTTTTGGAGGAAAATACTGCAGACAACGGTATTTCGCAGAAACAACTTTGGATCTACGTACCACATATATTAATGCTTGAAGTGAATGAAACGTTTCAGTACTGCCCATGACACTCTTTAAGATATGCTTTTTAATTTTCCACGAGAGAAAAGGGGGAAAGTGGAGCTGTCTCGTAGACTACACACCAAGCGTATTGTGCCCTCAGAAGAAGGCGTGCCGAGCCTTAACAAAAGGTCTTTGTGTCACCAATGTCAGAAGCTTTGATGAGTCCCTAGAAGTAATAACACGGAAAACTTATCATGAGCTATCAGCCTTTGTAGGAGGTATCCATCAGAGATCAACTATAGTTTGTAAAAACTCAAACCAATGTGGTCATGACTAAAAAGTATCAATATAGGTCAATTATCTCTGACGTTATAACGATCTGTTCCTACCAACAGGACATGTCCTTTTATTTTTTTACGATAACAGAACGTTCTGTAAAGCGTTCGTCATAAATCAGACATCAAGAAAAAAAAGCTGATCGGTGGGTCGTCAACTTCTTTGTCGTACTGCATCGTCTTCATCAATCATAATTATTGTCGTCTCTGTCTTCATCGTTATTAGGTTTCTTTTTTCATGTAATGAATTATAAGCACGGTATAGTTCAGCTAAAAAAAGATGAATAGTGTCCCTGAATGGCGAACGGGTAAATAGTCACTGAAGGTCAGCAGGTAAACCATCTCTTGATGTCACATTATGGCAGTTGAAAATAGTCACGGTGTGTGGATTTGTGAAAATGACCAATTGGTTAATAAGTTAAACATGGGAACAAATAAACTTTTTCCTTTATTTGAAGGCGTACACAGGAATAACCTCGTTACAAAAGGGGTTGGTACGATTGCTTTGCCTTTTCATTCGACTTTGATTGCATTTTGATTTTACTACATTTTTCCTTTCATTCGCTTTGTTTTTAACTCAGTTATGTTCATCAAGAGCTTATTTATTTCATAGGTTCTCTACGACACAGAACAAATCAGACGACAGAATATTAAAAAAAACTTTGCCTCAAGAATCTATTAATTTCCTTTCCTCTTTTACAAGAGTTAAGAAATATTAGTAAGTTTCATCTAGTTTACCTACAATGTCTTATTACTCTAAGCCTTCAAGAGTAGATAATTCGAGATGTTGAGGCGAGATGAAAGTGATGCCCGGCACGACAAAGGAAAGGGAACGTCTGAGGTAAACTCAGAAAACTCAAGCTTTCGAAAAATCTGCTTATGTGATCGAAATCATTTTCATCATACTGTAAAAAACATCTACCCAACCGTGAACTCAAAGTCTGGGGCTACCAAAGAGTCAGATTAACATTACCGTGAATTGAAATTAAAGTATTCCTGAAAAGAAGTTTTGGAATTTGTGCATTTGGATATCAAGTGTAGATACTGTTTCTTTATTTTTTTTCCTTTCTTAGATTTCCTACTTGTGTCCAAATTGAATCTTAACTTATTGATATTACCCGAAGTATTTTTTATTCGTCGGACATCGCAATATGGAAGCTTTTTCTCAGAGTGAGATTTCACACAGCTTGGTAAATGAAACTACCGAAAACAGAAGCAAGTAAACGATCTTCAATGCAAAATTACAAATTTATTCATTTGGAAAAACACCTGAAAGAAAAGCGACTTAGCTGTCATTGGCCGACCTTTCAGTTCAATTTAATGTATCTGGTGAGACCATTTCCTTTTGTCACAAATGCCACTTGGTCAAAAATATCGCCTCGTCAAACACAGCAGGGATGCACAGCAGGGATACACAGGTGTCAGCTTTCTTCAGGGAAGATAAGTTGTATCGTTATTTCTGTTAGCTTTTTTATTTTGCTTTCTTTTTTGTTCACTGTTGAATTTTTATCTGCGAAATAGTTAAAAGCAAGTTGGTGTTTAGGAATATCCTCATCAATTCCACATTTTGTTTTGTGGCACACAGAGATGACATTAAATCGCAGCGCAAAGAAGTAAGCTAGGTTTTCGAACAATAAAAACAATATTACAAAGACGCATGCAGTGACCGAGGAAGATGTCATTTTTAACACGTTTTTGCTACAAGCACAGCCCTGGCCCACGGCCTTAGCTTCCAAGCGACCTAGGGCGCATTTCAAGGGCGAAGATGTTCATTTAAAGATCATTGTTTCTCATTTTGGCGAAAGAGAAACGTTTAATACCATGTACATGTACATCAATTCAGCTCTGATTTGTGGCCAGAGTTCACGATAAACATGGATTACCCTGTTTCTCTCAAAAATTGTACGAGTAATGGAGAAGGAAACATTTGTTGCCAAACGATGGAAATTTTCAAACCCCTACCTTTGTAGCTTGGATTTTAGGATTGGAGAGGGTCAAACCACATACAGTCACTGAATGATGGGCCCTAGTTGGATTCCTTATGAGATTCTATAAAATTTTGCCGCTGTTTCAGCAGCTCCCTCCACCCTAAACAAACAAATCCACTGACATGAATTCGAAGTTCAACAAACCATTATCGTTCTGGAGAGGCAGGTTTTTCCATTTTTTTCCCCTTGATTCCTCAAGTTTAAGCCTTGGTAATGTCCATATACTTGGACTAAAACTTTCCCTCTCCACCAGAATTGAATTATTGAAAAAGATTGCGTATAACTAGAATGATTTAAGAAACTCATTATTCATCCATCCAACTTTACATCCATGGTGATCGATATTTTACATATATCGGCCGGAAAGTGGAGTCACGGAAAAAACCAAAATCAAACAAATAATGAAGTAATCTTCAGTCTTCTGATTAATCGGAAAAAGAAACGCTCTAAGAAAGAAAGAGCGAAACGAGAAAAGGGGAAAAAATATTGCTGAAGCCTCATAAGTTCGTCGATAACTTGATTCGCTTAAATATGATTGTTTTATAAAAACCAAAGCTAAATGTTAAATATGGTTAGCTGATCCAGACCATCGGGTTTATAGATTCATGATGGAATCTAAGGTCATTTTGCTAATCATTCAAGGCCATATCTAAAGTTTTCATGTTCTTTAGTTAATAAACTATAAGGTTACATAGCTTACGCCATTCCCTCCCAAATTTAGAGAGTTGCAGTCGTGATAGCCAGATACTGTTTTTGGCCACACTCAGCCATGCATCATGTCGGTAATCTGTTTGATTGTTTTAGTTACTTGCTTAAGGAGGCTCCATAGGGTTTTTGTTCAATATTGGCGCGCGCGAGTGTATCGTTTTTCTGTTTTTATGTTTTCGCTTTTCTAGGTCACTAAAAGCCATCAAAAGGGCGATGAGGAAGGTTCGGACCATTGTTTGCTGGTAAATATTATCAAAAAGATTTTCGTTAAGAAGCTAAGGCTCCACGAGAGCAGGGATAACTTGGCTTTGCCTTTGATTTTCTTCAATTTGCTTCTGTAAAATGTCTCAAGATTTTCACAGATTGTGAAGTTTGTCGTACCGATTATTTAAAATCCGAAAAAAATAGAGGTTACATCGGAATGTTCCTACTATTTGCAGTTTTGTGTTTTCCTTGTCTATCTCAGATTTGGTCCCGTAAATTTTTTTTAATCAACAGGCACTATGAAGAGCACAAATATACTTAACGGTCCAGCAAATCTTAGGAAGTTCCACCGTAGGGAACGCTCTGAGAGTTTGCTCGTTTGTTTTTTGCAATGGCGTGCGTAAATCTGGTCTTTCCTCCACAAAAACTAAATTCGAATGAGACAATTTAACTAGACACAAGGGGATTTAATGCAGCTTTTTCCTCGATGAATTCCTTCAGTTTTTGTTGTGCAATTTACGGTACAAATCGGAAAGACTCACCGAAAGGGTATTTATAGTAGAACTGAAAACGAAGCTCGCCCTTTCACTACGAGCAAATTGTTTAAGAGAATTCAGACATTAAATGAATGAAAGTTCCATCGATTAATTTAATTGTAACCAAATACCTCACGTTTTAACTTTCTAGGTACTTTTGTGAAGGATTGAATTAATTGCAGACGGTTTTTTAGGCCGCTTGTCAACCAATTTACTGATACTATTGCTTATACAAATTCATTTCGAAACCAATATTTTTCTGTCAACTAAAGTGATTTAAGAGAAAGAAAAAAGAGGATTAATAATAAGTTATTTATCAGCTTGAGGTAGTGACCAACGTCTTTGCTTAAAAACACTGCCCAGCCGGAAAAGCGAGATATATTTATGAAAAATGGCAACAAAGATAAGGATGTACTCGGCGATTCACGAAAGCGTTTTAACTTACCGTGCCCGTGGGCAGAGAGGAAAATACGGACCGCGCTAACAACCAATCAGATTGCAAGATTCGTTACCGTGCCCTCTGAGAAAAAATTAGGTGAAAGTCTTATATGTGAACTGTGAATAAAGACGTGAATATGGAAGCGATATTCGCAGTAATGAACACTACTTGAGCAGTAGTGAAGATCGCTTTCATATTTAATTGGTGGGTAAGGCAAACCCGTGGATGATTTGGACAGGTAATCTAACAAAGCTTTCTTTAGATCATCATTACTGATTTTCCTAGTACCCTGCGTGATGCGTGATGCGTGATGATTAAATTAAGAAGTTGAAAGGAGAGAAAAACACTCCATTCATTCCATTTTGTACACCATAGGATTAAATCCAATGTTGAAATTAATTCATTTAAATATTTCGGTGGAATAGTCAA